CCTGTTGACTTTGTTATTTTGGATATAAATGAGGATGTGGATGTACCTTTGATTTTAGGTAGACCGTTTCTCGCCACCGCCAAGGCGCTTATTGATGTGCATAGTGGTAAATTGATTCTGCGTGCTGGTGATGAACAGGCTACTTTTTCTGTGTCTGAGAATGGGAAACACCCTCATTTGCATGATGACATAGATTGCTGTGATATGCTTGCTGATTATGAGACCGCACTCGCCATCACGAGTGCGGGTACTGACGATGTTCTTGAGCGTTGTATTTTGCTAGGTGAGCAGGCATCGCAGGAGCCGCAGCTGGCGGAACAGTTGGCCGAGTTGGAGAGTGGCCCCTTCTTGCAGGGCGACAGGCTGTTTAAACCGATCTCATCCTCCACCCGCATCGCTACTTCCTTGGAGGAACCACCAGAGCTGGAGCTTAAGCCCCTCCCTCCTCATTTGGAGTATGCATTTCTCCGGGAGGGGAATAAGCTGCTAGTCATCATCAGCTCGACCCTCACACCCGAGCAGAAGACCAGACTGGTGGCCTTGCTGAAGCGGTACGAGCGAGCCCTCGCATGGAAGATCACAGACATCCGGGGGATCAGCCCTTCTTTCTGCTCCCACCGGATACTGATGGAGGATGAGATGCGGCCAGTGAGACAGCCGCAGAGGAGACTGACACCGAACCTGGAGGCTGTGGTTCGGGCAGAGATCGTGAAGGTGTTGGACGCGGGGATCATCTTCGCCATTTCCGACAACGAGTGGGTCAGTCCCACCCAGGTGGTACCCAAAAAGGGTGGGATGACTGTGGTGCCTAACGAGAAGAATGAGCTGATCCCGATGCGCACGGTGACTGGGTACCGTGTCTGCATTGATTACCGGCGTCTCAACGACGCCACTCGGAAGGACCACTTCCCGCTACCATTCATTGATCAGATGCTGGAGCGACTGGCGGGGCACGAGTTCTACTGTTTTCTGGACTGGCTGTCCACGTACTTCCAGATCCCGATTGCACCGGAGGACCAGGCGAAGACCACTTTCACCTGCCCCTTCGGCACCTTTGCATACCGGAGGATCCCATTCGGGCTATGCAATGCCCCGGCGACTTTTCAGCGTTGCATGCTCGCCATCTTTGACCGTCTGGTCGGCGAGATTATGGAGGTGTTTATGGACGATTTCTCGGTTTATGGAGACTCATTCTCTCACTGTCTCCATAACCTGGAGCTTGTCCTTAGACGGTGTGAAGAAACGAGCCTGGCACTGAGTTGGGAGAAGTGTCACTTCATGATTCGAGAAGGCATAGTTCTTGGGCATAAGATCTCCAAGATGGGGATTGAGGTGGACAGAGCGAAGATTGAGACTATCAGCAAGCTGCCTCCTCCTACATCTGTTAAGGGGATCCGGAGTTTTCTTGGTCATGCAGGGTTCTACAGGCGGTTCATCAAGGATTTCTCGAAGATTGCTCTGCCCCTGACGAAGCTTCTAGAGAAGGATGCTCCCTTCCAGTTCACTGATGCATGCACAGCGGCTTTCAGGACCTTGAGGGAAAAGCTCACCCAGGCTCCTATCATGGTTGTTCCTGACTGGTCCTTACCATTTGAGATTATGTGCGATGCCAGTGACTTTGCTGTTGGAGCTGTGTTGGGGCAGAGGCGTGATCAGCATTTCCGACCCATCTACTACGCCTCGAAGACCTTGAATGATGCCCAGGAGAACTACACCACCACGGAGAAAGAGCTGCTCGCGGTGGTGTTTGCCTTCGATAAATTTCGCCCCTATCTGGTCTTGTCCCATGTGATTGTGTATACTGATCATTCCGTGATTCGATACTTGATGAGCAAGGCTGATGCAAAGCCTAGGCTCATACGATGGATCTTACTGCTGCAGGAGTTTGATATTGAGATTCGGGACAAGAAGGGAGCAGAGAATGTTGCTGCCGATCACCTCTCCCGGTTGGACGCACCCCCTGCGGACAACCTCGAGGAGGAGATCAATGACTCCTTTCCAGATGAGAGACTGATGATGATGTGCTTGGTGGAGAGTGTCACCCCCTGGTATTCTGATTTTGCAAATTATCTTGTGGGCCAGCAGCTGCCCAAGGGGATGACCACTCACGCCAAGCGGAAGTTCTTCTCCGACCTGAAGTACTACTTCTGGGATGACCCCCATCTCTTCAGGATCGGAGCTGACGGGATCGTCCGTCGATGTGTTATGGAGAGTGAGATGGAGGGCATTCTATCTCACTGTCATGAAGGACCTGCTGGCGGTCACCACGGAGGAAACCGCACGGCGAGGAAGGTGCTCCAGTTGGGCTTCTACTGGCCCACGCTCTTCAAGGACGCCGACGCCTTCGCACGCAGGTGCGACCGATGCCAGAGGTCAGGTAACATCTCTGCCCGTGATGAGATGCCCCAGAATGTGTTTATTACTTGTGAGATTTTTGATGTCTGGGGTATCGACTTCATGGGCCCTTTCCCTCCATCCTTTGGCAATACATATATCCTTGTTGCTGTTGACTACGTCTCTAGGTGGGTCGAGGCGCAAGCTTTGCCCACTAATGATGCTAGACGTGTTTGTGGTTTTCTGAAGCAGCTATTCTCCCGATTCGGGACACCTAGAGCTGTGCGTGGAGTTTCGCCTAAACAGTGAAATAGTGGCGTTTGTTGTTTTCGAGTTCCCCCTGCCTTCGGAAAGGATACTCCTAATGGTACCTTAGTTCTCCATAGGCGTCTGAAGGGGGAGTGGAGTGAAGGCATTCTCTTTTGCGAAATGAGTGGGGAACCCTGGCTTTACACATCATAAGCGACCGAGGCACCCATTTCCAGGGTCAGTTCGATAAATTGTTGTCTCGCTATGGTGTAACTCACAAGGTGTCCGTGGCCTATCATCCCCAGACCAGTGGCCACGCCGAGCTGATGAACCGGGAGCTCAAGCGGATCTTGGAGAAGACGCTGAACCTGTCCCGCAAGGACTGGTCCACCAAGCTCGATGATGCTCTGTGGGCATATCGCACTGCCTACAAGACGCCCATTGGTACCTCACCGTACCGGCTGGTCTATGAAAAGGCATGCCATTTGCCCGTGGAGCTAGAGCACAAGGCCTTCTGGGCCCTTAAGCTGCTAAACTTGGATGTTAGTGTTGTAGGTGTTGAGCGAAAAATGCAGATGTTGGAGCTGGAAGAGTGGCGTTATCACGCCTATGAGAACACCAAGCTGTACAAGGAGCGCACGAAGCGCCTACATGATGCACGGTTGCGGGGTCCGAAAGAGTTCCAGGTTGGTGATCGAGTTCTCCTTTATAACTCTCGCCTGAAGCTCTTTCCCGGAAAACTTCGTTCCCGGTGGTCTGGACCGTACACGGTCACACAGGTGTTCCCGTATGGCACGATTGAGATTGCTAACCCGCAAACTGAGCTGTTTAAAGTGAATGGCCATCGTCTCAAGCTCTACCTGAGAGACGAGGTCGAACGTGCGGAGTTAGCAGTGGAGCTCGCGGACCCTTAGTTCCGCAATTGGCGTCCAGCTAAAAGACGGTAAAGAAGCGCTTGTGGGGAGGCAACCCCACCACGGTTTGATTTTCTTTCGTGTGTTTTGAGTCGGATTGTAACCCGGTTTGGGTTTGGTTTGTTTTCTTTTGGTTTGGATGATATCTTATTGGGCTGACCATTGGACCTAACATATTGTGTTTGAGCTCTTTGGCTTCCTTTGGCTGTGCTTGTCTTGACTGGTACTCTCTCCAGTCCGCTTCCAGCCCCCTGCAGTCCGTGCATACCGGTAACATCGTTCCCTTTTCCTTCCCTCTTCTCGATTGAGGGCAATGTCGATCTTAAGTGTGGGGGGATGTTATCTTTTGACTGCATTAGATTTGTTTGTGTGCTTGGAGCCTAGTCCACTGTCCAAATCTCGAGATTTGAGGGCTCCAAGCACGGCTATTTGCTTGATGATTGATCATATTGGCACTGTGGATGTGATTAGAGAATTGAATGGCTTTTAACTTGATACATGACAACTTGAGTGTGGCTTAGACAACTTATTGTGATGACTGAGATGTGCAGTAGAATTGTGTAGGGGTTCAGTTTTTCAACTGTCTGCTCACCAAATGTGACTTGGTTTGATCACTTGCTTTTGACAGTCATTTATGCATCTAGTTCAGGGAATCAGAACGAGAGACAGAGCATGTAGGTAGCCATGTGAGATTTGAGCCTGCTCGTTTCTTTCTTGTGCGATAGTTTCCTCTTCCATGATGTGCAGCATTCACGTTGTCATTAGCTAAGATGATGGAGGCATAGGATTAGCCCACGACCAAATTGACTGTCCTAGTGTGTCATACCCCCTAGTCAGCCCCTTTGAGCCGTGTGTTATCCTTTCTTTTGGTCTGAAATGAAAATAATCACCCTTTGCATCTTTTAGAAGGTTCCACAGAGTGGTTTTTACTTATTCTCTGCTGTTTCTGCTAAACGTAATGTGAGGGTTGGAGGTAGTGCTTAAAAGTTGGGCAGGTGCTTGAAATTGTGCAGAGGTGGTGGTTCTCTTAAGAAATGGAAAATAATGAAAGAAAATCAAAGAAAAAATGAAAGCAAAAGAGGGCCACCACTAAAAATCTGAATAACGCCCATGTAGTAGTGTTTCTTAGCAGTCTGGCTTAGAAATACTAGCATTTATGTAACCTCCTTCGCTCTTGTGTTCTGAATTTGAGTAATGCAGAATAGCAGAAAGAAAGTTTCTGGTCTGATTGCTTGTGAGTCTGTTGGGTTTGGAAATGTGGAACCTTGTGCTGTATGAATACTTCCACCACCTAAAAGGCTTTTTCCCCATGTCCAAGACCCTAGCCAGTCGTCTGAACCTGAGTCTAAGACCTCCGGATTAGTTAGTGGTGACACCCCATATGTGAACTCTAGCACTTAGAGGCTGCATTCATGGTGAAGAGATGTTAGGGATTGAGGGATTGAGCATGCGCATTTTTCGCATCATATTGTCCGGACCCCACTGGTCGAGAGTGAGCGATTCATTTTCTCTTATTCTTTATACTCTCTATCCCGGTGAGGACCTTAATTGCTCGGTCTTACTTCTGATACCTTGAATTTTGTGCATGATGTGACTGTTTTGAACAAGTGGTTGAGTTAAGTCTATGTTGGTTGGTGAACAGAAGGGAAACTCTTCCTTTGCTCGATTTTTGCTGCATTCGAATGTCATCAGTCGTGGTTGTCTAGGTTGTCATTGAAGTTGTCCATGTGTTATTGATCGAAAGCCAGTATGATCCATGTGTTTTGTGCCGATATGTCATGCCTTGTTGTTTTGAGCATACCTTGTGTCTGACTTGGTTTGCTTGAGGACAAGCAAACGGTTAAATGTGGGGGAGTTTGATAGACCGTTAGTTACACATGTTTTCACCCCTGTTCTTACACCGTTGGAGATGTGGTTTCTCGTGTTTTAGACCGATTTCACGCTAGGTTGTGCTCGTTTGTGATATTTCAGGTCCTGGAAAGTGAATGAAGGTTTAGGAGCGAGTTCGGGGTCGATTGGGTGAAGATCGGGCGCGAGACAAGTCACAAAGGAGGTCACACGGGCTGCCCTGATGTAAACACGGCCGTGTGAAGGAGTGGTTTGGCCGTGTGGGATTCTGCGAGAGCAGACACGGGCAGAGCAGAAGACCCACATGGCCGTGCAAGTGACCGGGTTGGCCGTGCCACATTCTGCGAGAGCAAACACGGGCAGGAAGGGAAGTTCACACGGCCGTGCCATTCTGGCCGTGCAAAGAGCCTGAAATTCGACTAAATGATACGCTGCGTTTTGACTCACACGGGCAACTGGGTGAGCTGCACGGCCGTGCCACCCTGGCCGTGTGAGTCGGGATTTTCTCCTTTTAAGCAGAATTTCAGCCACAATTCGGGGGGGTTCGAGTTTTTGAGAGAGAGAACGATTCCTAGAGAGAGAAAGCGACGAACAAGAGTCTCCAAGCGCCCTAGCTTGATCTTCATCACCATTGGAGGTCAGTTTGAGCTTGGCGAAGTGCCGATCAACATCCAGGAGCAGGAATCCATCCTCCACAGTATGAATTCCGCGTCTGATTCTGCTTTTGCTTCTTTCTCCATGGAGTAATTCTCCCATTCATCTGGGTATGGAGAACCCTAGATTTGTATGTTAGGCTTTGATTGTATGAACCCAAGTACTGATTCTATGATTTGATTATATTCGATTGAGGTTTGAATGATTGAATGACTTGAATCCTGATCAAATTCCTGTTGTTTCTGCTTTAACCTAGAATGAGAATATCTGCCTAGGTTGATAGAGCATCCTTGATTGAAGGTAGGGAGTTGGTGACTTTAGTCGAGGAGCCAACTCACTATTCTGTACCGGATTCACTTCGGTAGTGGAGGTTTTGTTCTTAGGGCCTCAATCTGTTTACTCCGGTGGAGGTTAGTCGCCCGCTAGAGACTCAGATTGAGAGGGTCTGAAGACCTTTAGTCGAGACTTCAGGCTGTTTAAGAACCTTCCGCAGTATAACTGTCATAGAAACTGAACTTGGTAATTACAATCTGGCTTAACTGCAGTCTAGGGGGAACCATATCCGGGTGACCTCTCTTAACATGAATACAACAATTTACTTGCTTTGTTAGTTTGATAGTTTAGACTTGCATTCCAGTTTCATTGCTAGATAAACCTAGCCCGCTATACTACGCTTTAGGAAGTGGTTTCACTTGGCCAATTCCTGGAGTGACAGTAGAAGTGAGTCAACAAGACTAGTACGGAATGGAACCGAGAACCAATGGTCCAGGACCTGGTAACTATAGGTGTCAATCGATCGGGTTCGGATTGGGTTCAATCAGGTTGCGGGTTAATCGAGTTTTGGGTTCATCGGGTTGCGGTCTGGGCTGGTTGCGGGCGGATCGTATTGCGGGTTTTTCGGGTTATCATATCGAGTTACTTACTCGTAACTTGATACCAACTTATACATTTTATTACAATAATTTAAAATATTCTTCTATAATTTTTAACCAATTTCTTTCAACCTCGTATATATACTTGCATTTAAAAAAAATAGTCAACATGTTGAATCAATTTGTATGACTTGCAAACTTGTCATCTAATTAATCGTAATTGGTAAAGTACAATAGCTAATAATAATGGTGATATCAACATTTTCAACCAATAGACACTATTAACAAACCAGACATTCAGAAAACAAAACACCACTCTAAAAGTAAAGAAGAAAAACACATTTTCCTAATGTCATGAACAGCAGCTTATGGAAGATGATAATCGCGCTAAATAGGGGAAAAGTTCATGTGAATAAGTTCGTGTGAATAGAAAACAATTTTTTTTTAGTGCTCCCTCAGTATTCTTCTATTAGCCTATACCCTAAACCATGAACCCTGACCCTATATTATAAACCATGACCATTGAATCCTAAACCAATAATTAAGTTAGTAAATGTTGTTTGAATAGATTAATTGTCAATGTGTTATTTGTAAAATCAAATAATTATTAATTGTTTATCTTGTATTTTGGTGTTATTCCAATAGAAATTGGATTAATGTACAGTGATTAAATGAGTTATTTGAAAATAATACGGGTAGGAATTATTTAAGATAACTCGTTTTGATTCTATGGGTTTCTATCATAATTATACTGCTAAATCTTTAAACCTTAAAATCCATAAAAATCTCGATTAAAAACTTCAAAGTCCTTAAATCTATGATTTATAAGAGTTTGTAGAATTTGAAGGTCATGTCAATTTGAGCAAATGTTAACTTTTCGTTTCCGCCTAATTTTTGTGACGTAGCGGTGCCAACAATTTTGGACACCGCCAACTTTTCGTTTCCCACCAATATAACATGGCCAACAATTTTGGAGAGCGCCATCTTTTCCTTCCGAAATTAGATAGGCGCCAACAATTTAACATGGCCAATTAAAGCCATGAAAAAGCTTGAAATTAGTGAGCTATTTACAAACTAAAAAATGACAATAATTGCACAGGAATTCAATAATAATTTTCTGTAAAATTTGGTTATATATGTATATTCATTATTCGTTATTTAGTATTGACAAATTTACATTATGCTAATTATATAATTCGTACTTATTATTTTAACTTTGTTAAAGTACTTAATATTCAAGTGAACTTCAGGTTTAAACTTTTGTAATTTTATTAAAATACATCATTTCAAATAAATTTAGATTATAAGCTTTAGTTTAAACATTTTTTTGTCATTTTTAGAAAATTTATTTCTACCTCATTTTAATATATGTACTTTTAAAAGATTTTTTGGTAGAAGTATTTATAAAAGTTAAAAAAAAAAACTTGTCAAAGTGCAACATTAATTTTGTATTCTTTTAGATTATGGAGTTATTGCAATTAATAGTATTAATGAACATACCAAATTTAAATCTCATTTTGAAATAAAAATTCAACTCGAACACAAGTTAAATGTGTCAAAGTTTTAAACAATGTTGTAAAATAACAATCATGTAGTGTTGAAGTTACGACAAATGTAGAAGCATATAAAACAAGTAGACGAATTAAGTGGATTTTTTGAAAATAAATTAGTGTTGTAAGTAATGGTTAATTTAGTTATGAAGTGAATTTCATGTTTATAAATTTCCTATACGAAATGAAAAAATAATTTTAACTAAGTTTAGAATGCAAAACTTCATTTTGAAAAACTATGTATTATATAGTATAATAATTTTTCAAGTGGATTGGGTGGAGATGGGTTAAGTCGGTCAGGTCACGGGTTAGTCGAGTTTGGGTCAATCAGATTGCTGGTTTAATCCGGTTGCGGTCAATCGGGTTATCGAGTTGCGGATTAATCGAGTCGCGGGGCAACCGGGTTGCGGGTCGAGCGCGTTACGTGTTGTTGAATTTTATTCAATTCGGGTTGCGAGCGGGTTGCGGGTAGGGTTGATCGGGTGGGTTAGTCGGGTTGGGTTCTGTTTTGACACCTATACTGGGAACTGGCTTTCAAGGGCAGCAAAAAAGGAGGATGCTGAAATTTGGACAAAAATCAGGCAGAAGTTTGAAATGGAAAGCACAGGTTCAAATTCAAATTACGATATGACTTTACCTCAAGAAAGAGAACCAGGGAAGGCGGTTCAAGAAGAAAATAATGAAACTGTTCAGGAGATCCAACAACTAAGCACACCCAAGAAGCAGAGTATGGATTGGAAGGGGATCAAACACTAGAAAAGGGCATTTACTGGGGGAGCAGCAAGACCAACACAAAACCATGAAAATGGGAATCAATCTGCAGGAAGGGGCTCTCCAGAGTGTTGCTATGGGAAGTATAGGAGGACAGCTAATAAAAAGAAACACAGGGCGATTGTGGAGACCACAGGATCAAAGTACCTAGAGAGTGAAGACAGGGGCACAGGTCACTCCACAAAAGAGGCCAGTGGATGACTTAAAGAAAATAGTAGCCAAGGAGGCAGACAGAGATGAGATTTCAAAAAAATCTCGAACCCTCAATTTCACACAACAGCAAAAGAACCAACAGCCCACTAGGCAGACTGAGGCGACAAGTGCTGGGAGACAAGGGGAACAACAAGTTGTGAAAAGGTAGTGGAGGTGGTAACAACAAAAAAATTGGCTGGCGGTGTGGCGGTTCCTGAGAATGGACCAAAGGAAAAGGAGTGGGATCACCAGATCGAGCGTGAGGCCTCCTACTTCTATGGAAAGAGGAGATGCAGGTCACAATTAAAGTCCTAGCACGCAACTACATAGATGCTTGGATCACTAAGGGTTCGGAAGAAAATAAGTGGCTGTTAACTGGCATATATGGCTGGCCAAAACAAAAGAACAACCCACAGACATGGATTTAATTAGAAGGCTGAGTGGTCAGAATAACATGCAGTGGATGGCACAGATTGTAAGGGACAAGAAGGGGTAATGGGTTGTTTTACTCAATACCTCCAAACCTTATATCAAGCTGGCCAGATTTCAAGTTTGAGGGAGGCGTTGGAAGCATTAAAACCGAAGATTACCCCTTAGATGAAATGATGAATCAAAACTTATAGGCACCTTTCACTAGAGAGGAGATATGAGATGCATTAAAAATGATGGCACCAACTAAGGCTTCGGATGGTATGCATGCCTTGTTCTTCCAAAAGAACTCGGTAGTGGTAGGAGATGCTGTCTGTTTGGATCTACATAGAATCCTAATCACAAGACAGGTTACCCCGAGTCTAAACCACACTTTATTGACCATGATACCTAAAAAGAAGAAGCCAGATACACCTAAGGACTTCAGACCTATTACCCTTTACAAGGTAGCAATGTAGTCAAAATCGCGCTTTGAAACTTACGCTTTACATTTATAGATTATCAAAACGCTTCTACGCATAATCTAAACTTTTATAACCGTTGTAGTTAAAAACTGTTGCCAAATTGGATATAGCTAAAGCATATGACAGGGCTGAATGGCAATTTTTAGGAGGAGTCATGTTAAAGATGGGTTTTCATGAAGATTGGGTTCGATTGATTATGAAGTGTGTGTCCACTGTGTCCTACTCAGCTTTAATCAATGGTCATCAAACTAAAATCATAAAGACATATCGAGGATTGAGACAAGGGGACCCCATATCTCCCTATCTCTTCCTCCTTTGTGCTGAGGGTCTTTCGGCTCTAACAAAAATGGCAGTGGAGGATGGAAAGTTAAAGGGGATCAAGGTCAGTAGCAATGATCCCATGATAACTCATTTATTCTTCGTTGATGATAGTATCTTTTTCTTCCAGAAAAAGAAAGAGGCATGAGAAGCATTGAGGGCTATTTTACAAAGTACAAGGCAGCCTCAGGAAAACAAGTTGTCTTAGTAAAGTCGGAGCTATCCTTCAGCAGTAACATTGTAGAAGAAGATCGAAGACAATGGCCTATTTATTGGGAATGCGAACAGTAATGTATCATGACAAGTACTTGGGGCACCCAACAGTGATCGATCGAGCTAAGAAAGCAATATTTGAACATCTTATTGTTAGGGTGAAAAACAAAATTAAGATGTTGAAAGGGAAACTCATATCAAATGTTGCCAAGGAAGTATTAATTAAAGCAGTGGCACACGCTCAAAAGCTCTACGCCACCATATATGTTTTCTTGATCCCTCAATGAGCGGTACAAGAGATCCAAAGCATGATTGCCAGTTTCTGGTGGGGGAGAAGAAGAGAAGAAAGAAGGATCCATTGGATGACTTGGGACAAAATATGTCAACCTAAGTATGAGGGAGGTATGGGATTTAGAAATTTACATGATTTTAACATTACCCTGTTAGGACGACAAGTTTGGAACTTTCTACAAAAACTAGAATCACTAGTGGCTCGAGTCTTCAAAGCAAAATATTACCCCTATTGTGATATACTGGAAGTAGAAGTTGGCAACAACCCGAGCTACATATGGCGCAGTATAATACAGGCACATGCATTGATCATAGAAGGAACAAGGTAGAGGATAGGTGATGGGGAGAGTGTGAGAACATGGTGGGATCTCTGGATCCCAGTAGCAACTGATTATCGCATCTAGGCACAAGTGACAAGACTGGGAATTACTGAGAAGGTATCGAGTCTAATTGACCAGGTCTCCAGATAATGGAAAAGCAATCTATTGCAAGTCAATTTCCAACCAGAAGATCGAGATAGGATCAAACTAATTCCAATTCCTTTTCATCTAAGGACGAATATAGGAGTTTGGGGCAGGGATAAGTCAGGGAAGTATTCAACATGATCAGTCTATAAGGAATGGAGAAAGAAACAAGCAATCATCAGGAGGAATTCTATGTTCCTATCGACTGAAACACCTGTGGATGCTTCAACTGTCCCCAAAGGTTAGAATTTTTGTGTGGAGATGGGGGAGCAACATTCTACCTACGGGGCTAATCTAAGCAGAAGAATCTCGGATGCATATGATGGAGACTCATTTTGTGGATTGGTGGAGACCGAAGAACATATAACACGAGACTATGATAGGGCGAGCAGAGTATATAGATCGAGAAATATGGCAAAATACTTTGCGATGGGTAAGAGAATGAATTGAGAAAACTGGTTATGCAACCTAATCGAGGTACAAGCGAAAAAGAGCTCACTACAGTCCTTATACACTATGGTTCTTATGGAAGGAGAGAAACAACCACTTGTTCAACAATGCGAAACTGGAGGAATGAGAAATAATGATTAAAGATCAGAATTACCTTGAAGAATACCAGCAACAGCAGGTCAGGGGGTGAAATAAGTGTGTTCCAAACCCCAAGTTGTCTGGGAACCTCCGCAGCCGAGATTCTTCAAGATGAACACTGATGCTACAATTTTGGGTGAAGAAGGTACTGGGTTTGGCCTTGTTATTCGACATGCAAGCGGAAAAATTTCCCATGGTTGTTGTTCATAGGACAAGGACGAAATGGCCAGTTGAAATGGCAGAAGCCCTAGCTCTTCTCTAGTGCTTGAAAATAGCCAAATTGAACCAATTCCTCCCACTTTTGATAGAGATGACTGTCAATCGGTGATCCAGAAACTTGATCTGAGAGACGCGACGATTTGAAAAGTGGAAGGGATCTGTGATGAAATTTGGGAAATGGTGATGGTGTAGGGCACGGTGCGATAGTTGTTTTGGGGTCGAAAAGAGAATTAGAGCGCCCATGCTATGGCGCGGGTGCGTTGTCGTTTAGAGTAAACATAAGTTTGGCTATCTCATCCTCCTATTTTTTCTATTACCTCAACTTTTAGTTGATGACTCTGTAACTCTTGACTTTGATTAGTTTTGAATACATGCCAGTTGTAAAAAAAAAGAGCTTTGTATCTTGTCTCTTTTAGTACATGAAATGATCCAAACTGTCTTGCCACCATATTTGAAACAAATAAAGTAAGACTAGTAAGATAAATTCCTCTTTAAAGTGATAAATTGACAACTCTAAAATCCTTAAACCAATCCAACAAATAACAAAAACTTTCAAAGTTTACGATCGTGAAACAAATCAATCGTCAATCTATGATTTAACAAAATTTTCAATTTAACCAAAAGTCTTGTTTTCATATCCAACTATCATACCACCTCCTACCGTCACAACTCATTGGCTGTAGGTTTTTTGTCATCCGAAATGGGAATCCAGGCATATATGAATCAGGGCCGACCAAGAGGGTGTGCCGGCCCACCCTTCGGCACAGGGCCTCCACTTAGATCCGTTAGTTACCGATCAAATATTGGAGGTTGTATTTTTAGTGTATGATTGATAGATTATGAATATGATGACGAGTTTAATAGATAATTTTAGGTATAATAACAATTGAAAGGATCTCATGGAGAATACGAAAATCAGAGAGATAATAGATAATTTTAATTTAAACAATATAGAAAGATATTACATTTTGAATAATGATATTATAATCATTTTAGTTTTATTATAGTTAAAAGTCAATTTGGATCATGTCTGAATTTTGGAATAGGGCCTACACGATCCATTAGATAGACCCGCACCCACCTCTCGATCAATTTATATTATTTTTATTTCTCCATTCAATTTTTGCGCTATATTAATTTTCTGTTCCCTCCAGATTTACTTTTCTCCCTCCCTGCTAGGGGTGAGAATTTGGTATTGGTTTCTTGGTCAAACAGGAAGCAAATCATTTATTCATTTTGAAATCATTTTCTGAACTTATGTATTTTTTATAATTATTTAATAAATTTTATTTTTAATAAATTTATAAAGAAAAAAATTAAGGTTACATGTTAAATTTTCGAACAGATGGGACGGCCCTGGATTTAATATATTATATCAAAAGATTCCATTAAGCTTTCCATTTCTCTATATTTATGGTTGCCCATATTGGCAAAATGAAACTACGTCACTCTAGCTCAGGTGTCGGATTGAAGACGATAAATGATGCAGCTAATTCAAACACTTCCTCTGGATAAAAGCAAAAGTCTTTTTGGGACGGGTTAGCATGCTAACCCCTTAAGGGGTTGGTTTTTTGACACCCCTTTTAATTGGTCAATTTTTCATTAATTATTGACAAGTATTAATGAAAGTAAACATAATAAATGTTCTGTTATTAAATACAAAGTAAGCATTAAATACACCACATTAATTACCACTTTACTGGTATTTGTACCACTGCACTGATACTCAGATATGACATTGATACCAGTGCACTGATATCGCTACCAGTGCAGTGGTATATCTACCAGTACAGTGGTACAACGTATCAGTGCAGTGGTATATCTACCAGTACAGTGTGGTACACCGTATCAGTGCAGTGGTATATTTTTGGGAGGTGGTCGGAGGGAGTCTGCCGATGGGATTTTCACCGGAGAAGTATGGCGGTCGCAGGAAGTCTGGTGGTCGGAGACTGCTGAAAAAGGAAAAATCAAATATAGTGAGAGAATTCCTAATATGTATTTAATGTGTGTATTTAATAGTGAGAGAATTCCTAATTAATATGGTACATTTAATTCCTAATGTGTATTTAATGTGTGTATTAAATTCTATAGTTATATTTAATATACTAGGGGTGTCAATTTTCCAACCCCTAAGGGGGTTAGCATGCTAACCGACCCCGACGAAAATGTTATTTTAGTCCCTCCATTTTAATATCTTAATTCTTTTTAGTTTTTAAATTTCACGTGCAACAATTTAGCTTCTTTTACTTAAATACCTATTTATTTAATTTAACTTGACTTGACTCAGATATTTATTTAGTCCCTCCACTTCAATATTGTAATGTTTTTAGTTTTCAAACTTTGGGTGTTATGAGGACAATCCAAGTACCACATCGGTAATATAAGGGAATGAACTCTTGTATATAAGTGTCCACCTAGCCCAATTAGTACGAGGCCTTTTGGGGAGGACACCTAAGGGTAAAACCGTGCGGGCTTGGCCCAAATAAGACAATATCGTACTAATTGAGCACCCCAGTTGCGACAAGTGGTATCAGAGCCTGGTTCGGTTCGGGGCGGTGGACGACAGTTTGGTGGACCCTCATTCGATGTCCTCTAGATTTGAGATATGCGTTTGTCTGGCAGGTTAAATGTGATTCGCGTCTGTTCGCATTTGGGAAGCAGATCAAAGAGAGTTATGCGTCTGGTAAAGTCTTTGTACCGAGAATCCCATCGATAAAAGGTGTCTGCAGATCGAGATAATCGTTGAGGTGTCTGTTTCCCATTTGGGAAGCAGATCAAAGAGAGTTATGCGTCTGGTAAAGTCTTTGTACCGAGAAGCCCATCGATAAAAGGTGTCTGCAGATCGAGATAATCGTTGAGGTGAGGACACGAAGTTTGTGGTCCTTGTCTTGAGGGGAGGATTGTTATGA